CTCTCTCTCTCTCTCTCACTCACTCACACACACACACACATGCACACACATGCACACACTTCGCACATATACACAGAACACCGATACACCCACATCGTCGACCTCTTTCTTCGCCGCCATGAAATTGGTAGTGACACTTTCTCGGCGTCCTTAGCCACTGGCGATACCCCGTGCCACAATCCAAGCAAATCTACTACGATGGAGCGTGGTGTATAAACGAACTCGAACGACCTGGATGTGTTCTCGACCGGTTCGTTGGACCTGCAAAATAGCGATGAGAGTGGTCTCGACATAGAAACTTCGACGATCAATTCAGAATATGCATGAAGACGATGATCAATATCTATTGAAAATATATCTGAGTATGTAGAAATTGGATGATCCTAACTCACCTATGTATAAAGGGATGTTACTTTGTTGTTGAACACTGCCCGGCTAGGCTGCTCGACTTCTCGAGTTAACCATTTGTACTGCCCAAGTGCCAAAACTGCACGATTTTGTTAGGCCACATGGTCCTATCCATGTGTAGTACCCCGTTCTTTTAATAAAATTTAGCTCCACTTTATTCAATTAAGTGTGTTAATTTTATTATCAAAGTAATTATAAAAAATGAATTATAAATCATTAAAATTATTAACCCTAATATCATTATTATTTGTAAAAGTATTCCTTTAAAAACTTTAAGTTAGTTAAACAAAGTGGAAATTCAAAACCTAAATAAGTCTAGGAACATTGAATTAAGAAAATAATAAAAAACTTACCATAACATGTGGAAGAGCTCGATCAAGAAACCTCAAGAAGAGCTGACCATGCACCTAGACGTTGCCTTCCTTACATAAGACAGGAGTCTTGATCATAAGAGCATCTCTAACGGTGTTTCAATTGCGGAATTCTAGAGGCAGTGCAAGGAAAAACATCTCCAATGGTGAATTATTTGCATCTATTTTTTATGATGTGGCATGAGAGAGGTTTAAAAATTCTGGAACTCTTTCCACATCTCAAAGCCCTGCTAAACATACTGAGTCCGACCCCATTTGTACTCTTATATATTTATTATTTTTAATTAAAAATTATAATTAATTTGGAGAGAGGCATAACTGCACGATGAATTCTTTTGTTGGAACTGCGTTTAAACATTACTATTGGAGAGTGATTTAATTCCTTCAGTCCACGTGGAGAGAAATACTTCTTTTTATTTGCTATGTAGACCACAATTCACATGATTCATTGGAGATGCTCTAAGTCTCTTGTAACCGTCCTCTCTCCCTCCTCATATCCTTTATATGTTTCTTTTCAAAAGTTCAGCCATTAATCCTCATGAAATTAGACGTTTCAACACCGAATAAGCATCCTCAAACCAAGAAAGATTTGACCGTTACAAGAAAGAAAGAACCGGCAAGCTTGAGCGGCTAGCCGAATAGGACTTGTCCGAGATTCCTAGATCAGGAGGCCGAGAAAAATCGGGCAGCTAGCGAGTCCCTTCAAGCCTTCAATAAAAAACTGAATCCTCTTCTCTTAATTCAAAGAAGAAAGGTAAAATTTAATTCAAATCCCTTTAATTCTTGTTCCAATAATTATGTTAAAAATCTAGAAGAATGAACTCCAGAATTTTGATTGAAATCATGAAGAGGAAGAAAAATTAGAAATTTAATTTATATCTTAAGAAATTTGGAAGATTAAATTTCATGTCTAAGAATTTTATTTGAAGATTATTTGAGGAAGAATGAAGCCTTATAGCCTTAAGAATTTTGATTGTTTTTCCTTGAGAAAACTTGAGTTTGATCTCCTTTTTAATCCAAGAAAAGTTAGCTTAAGCATGCCTTGAGATTTATGAAATTTGTTTGAGAAAAACCAAGTAGAATGCGCATTGTGAGTTGAGAACCTTGAGATTCATTTGATTTTTTGAGAAAAACTAAGAACTTGAAGTGCTTATGTTGCTAGTTATTCATTTGAGCCAATGTAACCCTTGAAAATCTTGAAAATTCATGTTTTGGCCGAAGCATCCTTGCATCGGGTCGCAGCCTCTGGACTGACCTGTTGATGAAGATCGTGCATCCCGGTTGCTGAAAAGCCATGCGCGCGCCTTAAGTTGACGGTAGTGCTTCGGAGGTTCACGAACGCGCCCCTTCGAAACGAGATAAAATTGCAAAAGAAATCAAATGATTCTAAGGCAAAGTTTAAACAAAAGTTCGATTTATATTCAAGTAATTCGATAATCAAAATAACAAGGGAGTGTGCCTATTTATAGGCTCCAAAATCTACTCCTAATCACCCTAGGCAATAAAATATTTAATGTTCTAAACAATCTAAAAATTATAGGGTAACAAGAAAACTATCTAAAACCTTATAGACTATCTCAATCTTACGCGCCAAGTAGGGGAACCCTAGCCGCTTCGGTCTTCTCCTCGCACATCTTCTTGTTTGTCTCGAGGACTAAGGCATCGCTAGCCTTATGCGCTCGTGCGTCGTCCTCGCCTGTGATGTCCGCACCTTCGCCCTTTGCGGCCACCTCGCGCGTATCATCCCCCATGAGTCACGTGTCATGTTCGATCAAGTGTGTATCAACCGCGCGCCGGGCTAACCTTCTACGTGCGTGATATGCGTGGCTTGACGCATTCCTAAGCCGCACGACATCCTCATCATTTCCGTCCCCTTTAAGTGCTTCCTTGTCCTCGAGGACGAGAGTTGGGAATTGTTCGCGTATTTTGTCTAAGTCTTCCCAAGTGACTTCTTCATACGGTAAATCTTTCCATTCAATCAACGCTTCCCAACTATAGCGGCCAGCCTTCTTGACTTGTCGGTACTCGATTGCGACTCGGTCGCATGGTAATTTGTCCATCAGGCGCGGTCGCGGGCAACTGGTCGAACCACCTATGCGTCTCTCTCAAACTTTTTTTAAGCTGAGAGACATGTATGACCGGGTGTATATGCGAGCTTTCCGGCAGCTCATGTCGATAGGCTACCTGACCTATGCACTTCAAAATCTGATAAGGCACGTAATAGCGAACCCCGAGCTTGGTCGCGGCCTTTTGCGCTGCCGTGCGTTGTCTGAAAGGCCTTAGCTTCAAGTAAACATAGTCACCCACGACGCTTGCCATCATGAAATGCCTTCATTCGGTTGATTGAGCCTTCGAGGTTCTTTTTTAGCTCATTTATCATCAAATCACGTTCCATAAGTTCTCGGTTAACCTCGTCATTGATCGCGCTTCCCTCCGAGTAACTCACGAGCATTGGTGGCTTTCGACCGTATACGAGCTCAAAGGGCGTGGCCTTGGTCGAGCTATGATAAGTGGTATTATACTAATACTCGGTCCAAGGCAAGAAATTCTCCCACTACTTTGGAATGATGCACATAACACCGCAATTATTGCTCGAGCGTGCGGTTGGTCACCTCTGTTTGCTCATCGGTCTGCGGGTGGTATGCCGAGCTCATCAACAGCTCGGTGCCTTGCAGCTTGAAAAATTCCGACCAAAAGCTGCTCATGAAAATCCAGTCTCGGTAAAAAATGATCGAGCGCGGGACCCGTGTAGCTTCATCACATACTCGATAAATAGTTTAGCGGTGGATTTCGTCGTGTACGGATGCTTGAGCGGTACAAAGTGTGCGTACTTGGCAAGGGCTGCAGCAGCCAGTCTAGCCGCTGGGCATCGGCCTTGGTTTGTTGGCACTCATCACAGCGCGCAACGTAGTCTCGAACCGCGCCTCGTTGTCCCGGCCAAAAGAAGGTATTGACCATCCTCATTCAAGTCCGATAGAATCCCGAGTACCCACCAACCTTTGAGTCGTGGAAGTGTTGTATGATCCTCTCGCGGCGTTGTCCGTTATCGGGCACGAACACTCGGCCCCGGTAGATCAGTAGCTCGTTGTGCTACTCGTAGTCGGCGACAACGGTATCACCCGTCTCGAGCCCACGACGCATGTCTTGGCCCTGCGCGTCGTCTTCCTGCGCCTTTCTAAGATCGTCCCACACGGCCCAGGTAGGCCCTGATATGGTCCCGAGCTCAGCCACGTACGTCTGTCGTAACAGCGCATCGGCCACGACGTTTTGTCGGCCCAGTCGATACACGATCTCGAAGTCGAAGCCCATGAGCTTTGAGACAAACTTTTTCTGCTCGGGTGTCACAATCCTTTTCTCGTGCAGATGCTTTAGTGGTTGTTGGTCAGTCATGATCCGAAAATGCCGCCCCAGAAGGTAGGGCCACCAGCATCGTACTGCTTCCACGAACGCTAGCATTTCTTTCACAAATACGGACAACCCCAGTCGAGTAGTGTCAGGCGCCTTGCTGAGAAAGTCTAGGGGCCGACTGTCTTGCACCAATACTGCCCCAATTCCTACGTCGCTCGCGTCGGTGTGCACTTCGAACATGAGATCGAACTTAGGCATTGCGATCACGGGGGTGGTTGTCAGGGCTTGCTTTAGTTTCTGGAACGCGGACTCGCTGGCCTCCGTCCATTTGAACCCCCCTTCTTTGTCATCTCCGTGAGCGGCTTAGAAATCGTCCTATAGTCCTTTACAAATTTCCAGTAGTACCCCATGAGGCCGAGGAAGCCTCGGAGCTGTGTGAGATGGGTCGGCTTCGGCCAATCCACAACGGCCTCAATTTTCCTCGGGTCGACCCTCACACCCTCATGCGTAATACAATGACCAATGTACTCGACCGTTTCTTGCCCGAAAGAGTATTTGGATGGTTTGATGTGAAACGAGGTCACCTCTAGGATCGTAAGTTGTAACGCCCCACTTTTACCTTGACGAAAGTCAAAAGTCAACTTAATTTTAAAAATACTTTTCGTAAAGTGCTACTCAACATAAATTCATAAATCATCATCTCATAAATCATACTCGCAAGTATCACAATTCAACGTTCAACCGACGTTTTCATAAATCTCAGAGTTCGTAAATTGTAAATCGTAAATCATAAGTACCCAAAGTCATGAATAATAAATCCCCAGCTTTCAATGCATAATTAAAACCAATGTTCATAAATAACGACAATATTCCAAGGTTCATAAATATAAGTGGAAGCTACTATATGAGGTCAGGTCAAAAGACCGACCACCACTCGTCTTTGCCTCGTCATCCGATACCCACTTAACCTGCATCCATGGAGAGCAGGTGGGAGTGAGCATGATGAACTGTAGTGCTCACTACTATGCACATGAACAATAATAATATAAGAGAAGTTAAATGGCATGGTCGCAGTATGAACATAATCAATAAACATCTCATCTTCGAACCAAAGTAATTCTTATGTGCACACCTATAACAATAGACTGATGCTCGTATGCCTTTCGGCGAATATAAATGGGGTGCCCAAACAGCAGGAGGCTCAACCGTCATAGCACGCACCTAGTGCTGAGACAGGATATCCATCACCGGCCAGGGCACATTGCCAAGGTCTTACAGATGACGTGGTCCTTAGCAAAGGACAAATGTGGAGATTAACCTTGCAGGGTACGTTCTATAGCTACGGGGGTAATCGTTCGACGACCGATACAGCTCACTTCGAAGATTACATGTTCACATGCATACATTGATCATACCCACATAAATAAAACATTTATTACTCATGGCATAGATAATTTTTAATAAAAAAACCCACCTGGATACCGATATGTAGCTAAACACAGAGTTGAGGGAATTATGGCAAAATTTCAACTCGAAGAACCTACAACAATTATGATAGCCAATCAACTGACTATCCAACACAAAAACAACACACAAAGCACATATACTTAGCCGAAATCATATCGACTAAGTGACTCGTGGATTATTTGACCGATTTAAGTACAATGGAGTGACTACTAGACCTGAACACAACTCAAATACCTCAGGTAATACACATAAATCATGCCAACATCAATAAAATCCAACCCGAACCTAAACAACGAATAACTGAGCATTAAGACTCCAAAATAAACAAAATTCAGAATCCGGAGTTAGACTCAACCAATCAACCTGAAACTTTACCACATCACAAGGCATACAAAATCACATAAACTCACCAAGTTTCAGGCCTAAATTCATCCGAGAACATTTTTAAATAATTTAAACAAAAACATCGCCAAAATCGGAAGTTAGTAGTTCAAATAGCTACACTTCGAATTTTAATCTAGAATTTTGACACAACACAGAATAATACAAAATAACACACTCCTCAAAGTTTCAGCTCAAAACTCCAAGTTTACGATTTTTATTGAATTTTATAAGATTCTGACCAGAAACCGATTTAATTAATTAAAATAGCTACAGAGGCAGTTTCAACTTGAAAATTTTACACGACTTACAAAATCATCACAGGAAATCACATATAACTTTTCACAGCATTTGGACAATCACACGGTTTATCATGAATTAATTACGATTCAGTAGCATGTTCGGTTGAGAAAATTTATAACTCATGATATACACATCGAAACGACCTCAAACCAAAACCAATAAATCAAGGACAACTCCAAGTACCTATAACTCTAGGATTTCCACGAAAAATACCACTCTAAACTCAGTTCGATAATAAATCAAAGTGACGGCAATCACTTTGATATCCAAACCGCATGTAAACTTATAATACGACACAATAACATATCCAAGGCACGTAATCAACTTGTAATTATCACGTTCAGCACATAATATATCACAATATCACAATACACGAAATTAAAACGAGACGGTTCGAGCCTAGGTACCGTTCTCGGGAAATAATCGAAAAACGGGATGAAAGAAACGAACGACACGACGGTGGGCTCGACGGCTAGTGCGGACAGCAGCTCGATGGCTAGCTTCGGCTCGCTGCTGGGGCTGATCACGACCGGGAATCGAGAGCAAAAGGTCGCCGGACGCTGGCGGTATCACGTGACGGAGGAGAAGGTGCTGCCAGAGGTTGAACTCGCCGGGATTCGCACGTCGCGATAACAGACGGTCCAATGGAACCACGAGCAGTGACCGAAACGGGACTAGGACGTGGATTGGATCACGCAAGCAGGGACAAGCAGGAGAAGCGTGAAAAGAAAAAAATACGTCGGGACTCGCCGGCTTTGTTCGGCACTCCGACGGGACTCGAACTGCTGCAGCTGGGGCTCGTCGGTGATGCTGGACACGCACAGGAGCAGTGGGACCGTTGACGGTGGTGATCGTTCGCGAGCAGGCCGGAGTTGCAGGGGTCGACGGAGAAACAAAGTCGCGAGGAGGGTCGCAGCGGAGGAGGTCTCGCGGTGGCTCGTCGAAGTTGCTGAGGCTCACGATGAAAGTGCTGGTCGCGGCGGAACTCGCAGACAGAAGAGATTGTCGGGAAGCAGCGAATGGGTTTGGACCTGCGGTGTCGCGATCGATGATGACGGTAGTGGTCTGAAATTCTCACCAGAGAGCATGATGATGGAGATGACGGGAAGATGAAGGTTGTTGGGGATTTCTGCTGCAACTAGAGAGAGAGAGAGGGACGAAGGCTTTGAAGGAGCAGATTGAGAGTGCTGGGGGAAAATTTCTTGCGAGAGAGAGAAAAAATATGGTGTTGGTATAGGTCTGCGCATTTTGATTGAAGAAGCAAAGAAATCCCACCTTTAGATAGGCCTACGGTTTGACTAAC